AAAAGATACAAAGTATGTTCTCATTGCATATATTAAATAGTGCAATACATGCATTACTAATTTTATGATGGGAAATCATATTACTACATAAGATTTCGTACAATCCCGTAACCCTACGTAGGATTTCACCATAATGTTTCATAAATCTTATGATATCATAATCCTACGTAAGATTTCAACTGTAATAAAATGTAAAAAATACGACCCATAACCCTACATAAGATTTCACCATAATGTTTCATAAATCTTACAAACTCATAAATTCACATAGTTTTACAACGTAATACTCCGAAATATTACAAAAATCGTAAATCTACAGAATATTACGCCGCATTTAAGTTCCAGATGTATGCTCAACATACAATGAGAAATATTGCTAGATACGTTAACAGAGTTCTTCACCTTCATTACATATTGATTTTATTTCTAATGGATTGCATTTAGTAGAATCGTTCTTGATATTATAAATGGTATCATTTTCGTTTAAAGTAGATGACGAAATCTTCTTATATTCCTGAAAGGTGAAAATGATGAATAAATATCAATAATTTCATCAATTTTATCAATTTCAATAATATATTCATCAGATATGAATGAATTAATATCCGAAGACTTGTTTTCTTTGACCGCAGTGATTTCTTTTATTTGCAGAATATTTTGCGTTTAAAAGATTTTAATGACTTGGAGACGATTTTCTTCAACTTATTAGATGATTTGTGTTGTATAGGCCAGAATTGATCATCTTCTAATGGTTCCATATCTAAAAAGAGATCTGAGATAACAGGAATAAACATTTTATCAAAAATCGAAAAGTTTGGATCGAATTTAGTTGTTTGCATATTAATTATTATAGGTGAAATGTTGTGTTTTAGAAGTAGATTTTTTTTAAGACTTGCAGTTGTTTTGTTTTGCAGAAATGTAACTTTGATTGAGCTGCCCTTGCTTTTATAACTTATGAGCAAATACGTGTGTATTATAATTAAAAATTATTATTATTAGAATTATGATCTAAGTTTCCAACTTGTTGTAAAATAGTTACAAGATAATTGTTGAACAAATTTTTGTTGATTGCGATTACTAATAATACATAATTTTTTTAGCCTTTTGACTTGTATTATCAAAAAATAAAATCCTTGCTTTTGTATTGTACAAGTACTTGAATCTTCCATGAATTATCACTTAAATTATTTTGAAATTCAAACAAAAAATAATCAGATCCGAAAAAACCATAAACATCAACTTGAATTACTTACATACTCGAATATTATGACAAAGGCATTCTCAATTTGCTTTTAATGATTTTTCTTGCAGATTAATTAATGCTCAAGCAATGGAAATTTAAAGATCATATAAGTGTACAACTTTAAATTTGAAAAATCACTTTTTACTTACGTTGAATAAGATTGAAAGCACATTACATTAACAAAAATAATTATTAATTTTGTATTTTAAAATATATTCGAAATAATGTATTGTTGATAAGTATGATTTGTAGTGATCTTTGGGCATACATATTTAATTTTACTATGAATATGTATCTTATTATTCACTCGGATTTCTCTTTTTTATAAGATAATAGTGTTAAATCGTTAATTCTTATAGCTTTTTATTAATTAAAAAAAATATAATTAAAATGTATAAATAATATAAATATATGCATTAAAAAAATGTTTTTTTAATTAATTATATATGTTGAAATTCATTTCTAAAGTTATTGAAAAAAATGTAACCTGTGTTTCCATATGAAGTTACAGCATAGCATGGATTATATAATAATCACATGTACTTACGTACATGTGATTATATCTACATGTCTCGTAAATAACCTAATTATCCGTAACTTTATATGGAATAAAGTTAAAAAATTCAAAATATATTATTTTCACAGTCAACAATATTTATTAAAATATTAAGTCATGTTCTTATTTAAATAATACACATATAACCACAATTACATACGATAGTATTATAGAAGTCAAATAAACCACAAATAATGACAACAATTCAACCTAACACTCAAAATAAAAGGTCGATTCAGAAAAATGAGCATAGATTTTTTCATCTGATGGAAAATGATGATACATCTTACCTAGTTACTTGTAAAATTGTTTTATCTCGTTCCACCATCTCAGATGACTATGACCATATTTTTTTTTACTGATTTTCCGAAACAAATTATTATATTATACCCTCATTCTAATCATAAATGTATTAAATAAAGAAATGTATGGGATTGATATTGATGTAAATAATTTAAGTTTCAATATGTCGCCATTAATTGTAAATCAAAAGTTTGATCTAGAAAATAACTTGAAGCAAATTCTTCCTTTACATCTTTCAAGATCAAGAGATCAAATTACTGTAAATAAAAAATAATTAAGGAGATGACGACTACATTTTTGAAGATACTTCGTCATATGATGGTAGTATTTCTTATCAAGAAGAAAATAGTTAATATCACACATCCACAATAAGTTGGTTTCAGTAGCATTTCACAACTCCAAAATTTTCACACAGTAATTATGATAACGTTGACAATATAATGATGCAACAGCAGTTATCAAATCTTACCAAGAAATCGAATGTGATATTCAAGGCTCACAACAACATATTTATATTTTCGTCTATTAATTTACCCATATAAACGTGAAATATGAGAGCGATTATTTCACAATAAATCGACTTATTTTAAATGATATCATTTTTTGTATTTTTTGTTTTTTTGTTTTTTCATTAATTCATTATTATTTTTTTTATAACTTTTTTCATAGTATTTTTTATTTTTGCCAATTATTTAACAAAAAAAATAAAGAAAATACAAGAAATCATCTAAGAATATTAATTTAATAATAACTATTCTTTAATCTAATTTATTTGATCGATAGTTCTGTTCAAAGCAAATTTTTACTGTAAACATTTATGATATTAAGCCATAAAACATCTTATATTACAACCTTATATATATATTTTATATCACAAATTTTTGAACCGGTTACAATTGATTTCAAGTGAAAGAATTAACAATCTAAAAATTTATATTAAAAAAGAAAGCTGTTAATTTTTAAAATGGCTTGGAAGTTATCAACATATAATAATGATTTTACGTTATAAAGAATTTGTATGGAAATATTATTATTATAACATATTATGTCATAATAAGTAATTTAATATGGATTTAGGCTTTGATTTCTCAGTATCTAGCGAGTGTATATGATGTCAAATAAATAGATAATTATTCATCAGATTTAATTAAAGAATGCTGTAGGCTTATTAGTTCATTCGTTTTACTTAATCAATTAATGTTTAATTAAGAATCTGTGATCTTTGCTGCATTAGCTTCACTTTATTATCATATTCAATGCAATGTATTTGTTTAAAATTCCAATACGATTTCTTTCAACTATTAAGTTCTAAAAAGATCCTTTTTATTTATGATGTAAACTTGAAATTGTAGAAAACAAATTTAGATCATTTGTTAGTAAATTATCATTTTTCCAACTTTATTTCACATAGCTATATTATTTTTATTTATAAAGATAAGGAGTCAATACATAAAGCAATATTAAAAAGTTTTAAACTATATAAAGCTTGTAGAAATGTATTACAAATCCTATTATCTTGAAGACGATCTATTAACTTTTTACTAAACACGTTAATTCTTCATGAGATTGAGTAATGAGTTCAAATTTTGCATTTCCAAATCTCTTTTGGACATCATGCAAAATCAGATGAATAGGGTCACATAATAATATAGATGAGTGCTTCCAATATATATCCCCCATAATTTACCACTATCGTTAAAGACTGGCGAGCCCAAATCCTCAGGTTGACCTTTAAAACAAAGAACAATTTATGAATAATTCAATTGGAAACATTACTTTAACTAACTTACCAAATATTATTTTTTTACTGGTAACTTTTAATGCAAATCTTTCTACTCTTTTTTCTTTTATTTTCTCTTTACCCTTAATAACGAGTGGTGGAAGAAAGCTTACCAGCTTAGAAACTATACTAAAACACCTTTAATATTTTTATCAGATATTTTCTACTGAAAATTGAAAGATCATTCAATCCTAAAAACAATGAAAGCAGAGTTACCAAAATTTTCCGATTCTCCTGTTGAAATCTTTCATAGTCTTTTACAACGTAATACAGAGAAACATCTTACAGCAAGTCAAATAATAAAGGAAGCACGATACATTAATCATTTACGATTGAGCGATGATAGATTCAAAGAAAATTTCGTTCATGATTCAACTTGGGCTGTATATTAATATTCTTCACGGAATATTACAACTTTAACACGAAAAACTGCATGCTTTTTTTTAGATTGTTTTTCAGATATTTATACTCGTATTAATTATAAAAAAATACAATTTTTAATTCCATTACAGATTACTACAAAAGATCCATCAAAAAAGAGAAAAACTGATACTAAAAACAGTTTTTCTATCCCAGCAATGAAGATGGAGAATGCACAGCTTTATCATTTACCTTTAGGATATAATCCTTCTTATAAACCTAGTTTATCTGGTTGTGATTCTTCTAATTGTCTTATTACTAATATTACATTTAATGAAGAAACAGGTCAGGTACTGTCATGTGGTCACACGTATCATAATATATGCTTTAGTCTAAACAGATTCAAGTGTTTGCATTGCTTAGATTATATAAAGTTCAGCATTGATGAACATATACAATCACTTTTGGATCGTTTATGCTGACCTATTTCAATTGATAAAACTGAAAATGAAGAACCCGATTTTATTCCTGAAGATGATCATAATGATAAAGAATCTGTTGATAATATTTCAGCTTCTTGGGACATTGCAATACTATGATTTATTCAACAATAATCAAAAATTATTATGTAAATATATTAAATATGTAGTAACTTTATAAGTTTATCTAAATATATACAGTATATTAAATATGAAATACAATTTTAATAAATTTTTGAAATAATATCAATGATATATAATATACAAGAAATATGCTTTTTATTTTATTAAATTGATATTTAATTTTAATTAGTCGAATTTAAAGATGGGAACTGTAATTAATATGTTGCAACTTTTAATGTTGCAACTTACATTGCAATTAGTTTTGACCTATATATGTTGCAACTAATTTTAGCTTATGTTGCAACATTTTGTAAATTTGAAATCAATTGCTGTACCATCTTTAGTCGAATTGATACTTAAATTTATTTGTCGATTATTGTTTGTTTTAGTCATCAAATTAGCCAATCACGTGAACTTCCTACTATGTAACTTATCCTGTATTAACCCTCTAGTTATAGAGGTAGTTTTTCCAACTTTTTGTACCTATACAAAGTTTTCATTGTATCTTACAGAAGTTTTTATGGTAATATTGCTTCCTGTTTTTGGGATCTCGTGATCATTTTCAATTTTACAAAATGCATAGTCAAGAAATTGACGAATAGGATTAGCTCCCAAGAAATGATATCTTATCAGCTTAGCACATAAACTAATATTAATCTTTTTATTTATAATTGTCAGCAAAAAAAGTGTATTCATTGTTATATATCAAGTATTCCTGGTTGAAATACTCTATCATTCTTTTCAAATCCATGTTTTGTAGTTAATAACAATTTCTTATCATGCTCTTCTGTATTTTGAAACGATTCTCCTAGTGTACAGGCATCAGGTAGATATCTTGAACTGCTAATACTTATGCTGGGTATAAGATCTTTATAAAATGAATGATGATGAAATTTGAAATCGACTCCATAAGAAATTATTACAGAGTGGAGTATTCCATGAATTCGGATGGTAAATTAACAGGAGTTTCTTCTGGGACATATACATAGACTATAAGAGCTTCCCTATTATCAACTAATTCTTCGTTTACACATGTTAATGGAATTATTTTATTAAATTTCTTATGAAATTCTTTTAAAATAATATCTAACTGTTTTAAATGCTTGATATCAAATATTAGACTAATTTCACGCTCATCTAGCTTCTCTGCTTGTCTTTCAAATACATTTATAAGTAAATTTTCTGTTAGAAAACAATTCTGTTCATAAATAATTTAGGTATTCAAACTTTACAGATCTGCTTTATGATCTATAGCATACCGTTCTTTTAATTCAGTAATATTTCCTTTATTAATGTCATTATGTAATAATGTAAATGCGGTCATATACACTTCCTTTATCGCATGTGATATTTTCATTTGATCCAAGAATGTGCTACTCGAGTTCAGATAAATGACAAAATTTCTTTTTCTTATTATCAGCAAGAATCATTTCAAGTCTGATAATTATGCCTATTATAAGCAAATACCAGAAAATCTTTTTAAAAACATTAACTTCAGTTTGGTAAAATTTTACAAACTTTGCACTTGTATGTGAAAATTTTATCACTGTATACACTCTTGTAAATTTATATACTGTATCTTTCCATTGAATGTATTCATCATTATATAACTGCTGAATAGAATAATCGGCTATAACTTGAGAAGTGAGAATAAAAGTGGTAAATTTATTTATTTTTTTATTTTAAATCTCTAACGAAAATACTTTAGAAATAAAAATTAATTTTGTTTAGACGCGACATGCACGTTAAATATATTATTTCTTTATAAGTTTATTTATACTTTAACAACATATTTTTCACGTAATAGTTAAGTTTTCACAACAGACTCTATATTCATATTATAAGGTATGGTCATACAAATTACGTTAACATATATCTCAACATATTAATTGCAATCTTATTCATTTGCGTTTGTAATTACAAATGTACTATAGTAAGCTCAATTGATTTCTCATGGTATGAAAGTATAGTAGATTCTATGCAAGTGCGCAAGATCCGTACTTTAAGTAAAGTATGTTTATATCTTATTTATTAGTGAATATATGTAATGTATATATTATTATTTCTTATTTTTTATTATCCCAGTTTCAATCTTTCTTTTTTAGGTCCTTCGCAGTGATTTCTTTTTCTTTTATTATTGTTCGACCTCATATAAAGATTGTTATTCTTAATTAATTATCTTTTAATATTAATTTTATAAATTGGTCGATATCCACTTCAATTTTGTTTTCAGAAAACATATCTTACTATAAAATACAAAATTGAGGTAACGCTAGTAAAAGAACAAAATAACCCATAATTAATATCTTTTTTTTCTGATATAACAAGAATTAGTTAGAAAAATATTTATTAAAATAAAAAGATAAACCAAACAATATTGTAAAATATAATAACATAATTTAATATTTTTTTTTCATGATTGAATCGTGCTTACATTATTTTAACATTCATTATAAAATTTGATATATTTTCTAAAAGTCTCTTTCATCTTCCGCTACTTCATTCACTTGAAGCCCAAAAGACATTCAAAAATAAATTATTTTACAAGGGTCAAATAAAAAATATAATTCTCAACAAATCTTGACCCACATATTCATTTGTTCGGTACTTTTTAATTTTTCCTAAACAAGAGAAAACCAAAGAATAGGGAAAATACAAAAGTAAAAACATATAAAGTATTTATTAGTACTCCGTAAGGATCTGGTCAGATCAGGTTTGAAGTAAACTCGAATCGAACCTGTTAATATACACAAGAACCAAGCTTGACTCAACTTGATTATTGTTTAACATGACACGATTATTTTTTAACTCATATTCGACTTGAATTTTCAAGGGTAATATTAATACCGAAATTAAAAAAAAAATTATTTAAACGGATATTTAAAAGAAGTATATTTATTAAATTTGTAAGTTTTATTTATTTTGGTTGTGCATTAATCCTAATTTAGAATTTTTTTATATATATTTATTGCCACCAGGATTTTAAACATATACAGGTGTGAATTGTGTTAGCTTTAAGCCTACATCTTTTGGTTGTTATTAAATTGGCGTCACTAGAAAAAACTCATTCTATTGAAACACTCGTTACTTATTAAAAAATTTTTTTAGTTAATATTTAATAAACCTTAAAATAATCAATAAATATATATTTTATTACCTGTAATTGTAAGATAATATCTAGCCATTATGGCTAAATATGAATACTCCATTTTATGTAACTATATAAATTAAATAATTGAAATAATTAATTAAAATATTTTCATTATACAATTTATTATTAATACATACTTTTCACCAAAGAAGAATATCTTGATTTCGTGTTACTTGAAGAGTATTTAGATATAATTCCACTTTGTTTTGTTTAATATTTTGCTTTTTACCAAAAATATGATTTATAATCACATCACTTTCATCATTAACATTTTCGACTTATAAATCAGTATCAACAGAAGCATATTTGGTATTATAAATATCAAGAACAATTTCTTTAGCATAATGAATAAAACTTTGTTTCCACTTTTTATCTTCATAATAACCAAGTTTTAATTGTGGATCTAGTACTTTATAATTTTAATAAATTAATTATTATAATAAAAAAATCGCGTTTATTAAAAAAATAAGAATTTAAAAAAAATAAAAAAATATATTTTTTAATAATACTTACCAGTTGCAATTGTATATATATTTGAATCATCAATTTTTTCATAATATGTTTCTAATTTTTTTAAACCTCTTTTACAGCAAATACTATATCAATAGAACTATCAGCCTTTTCACAATATAATTCAAGTTCATCTAACAAATAATTA